GACCACCACAAGGTGAGAGAGACCAACACAAGGTGAGAGAGACCAACACAAGGTGAGAGAGACCAACACAAGGTGAGAGAGACCAACACAAGGTGAGAGACACCAACACAAGGTGAAAGAGACCAACACAAGGTGAGAGAGACCAACACAAGGTGAGAGATACACCAACACAAGGTGAGAGACACCAACACAGGGTGAGAGAGACCAACACAAGGTGAGAGAGACCACCACAAGGTGAGAGACACCAACACAAGGTGAGAGACACCAACACAGGGTGAGAGAGACCAACACAAGGTGAGAGACACCAACACAAGGTGAGAGAGACCAACACAAGGTGAGAGAGACCAACACAAGGTGAGAGAGACCAACACAAGGTGAGAGAGACCAACACAAGGTGAGAGAGATAGAGAAGAAACATTTAATGAGAAGGAATAGTTTGACTTCCATGATGGACAAGACCTGTGAATGTCAGCAGCCTCGACGGCGGTGGTTGGGGTAGTATTGTTGGCAGTGGTGTGAGAGGTGGTGACGGTGGTGGTGGTAGTGGTGAGAGGTGGTGACGGTGGTGGTGGTAGTGGTGAGAGGTGGTGACGGTGGTGGTGGTAGTGATGTGAAAGGTGGTGACGGTGGTGGTGGTAGTGGTGTGAGAGGTGGTGACGGTGGTGGTGGTAGTGGTGTGAGAGGTGGTGACGGTGGTGGTGGTAGTGATGTGAAAGGTGGTGACGGTGGTGGTGGTAGTGGTGTGAGAGGTGGTGACGGTGGTGGTGGTAGTGATGTGAAAGGTGGTGACGGTGGTGGTGGTAGTGATGTGAAAGGTGGTGACGGTGGTGGTGGTAGTGATGTGAAAGGTGGTGACGGTGGTGGTGGTAGTGATGTGAAAGGTGGTGACGGTGGTGGTGGTAGTGGTTTGAGAGGTGGTGACGGTGGTGGTGGTAGTGATGTGAAAGGTGGTGACGATTGTGGTGGTAGTGGTGTGAGAGGTGGTGACGGTGGTGGTGGTAGTGGTGTGAGAGGTGGTGACGGTGGTGGTGGTAGTGATGTGAAAGGTGGTGACGGTGGTTGTGGTAGTGGTGTGAAAGGTGGTGACGATTGTGGTGGTAGTGGTGTGAGAGGTGGTGACGGTGGTGGTGAGTGGTGTGAAAGGTGGTGACGATTGTGGTGGTAGTGATGTGAAAGGTGGTGACGGTGGTGGTGGTAGTGGTGTGAGAGGTGGTGACGGTGGTGGTGGTAGTGGTGTGAGAGGTGGTAGCGGTGGTGGTGGTAGTGGTGTGAAAGGTGGTGGTGGTGGTGGTGGTAGTTGTGTGAGAGGTGGTGGTGGCAGTGGTAGTGGTGTGAGAGGTGGTGGTGGTGGTGGTAGTGGTGTGAGAGGTGGTGGCGGTGGTGGTAGTGGTGTGAGAGGTGGTGGTGGTGGTGGTAGTGGTGTGAGAGGTGGTGGCGGTGGTGGTGGTAGTGGTGTGAGAGGTGGTGACGGTGGTGGTGGTAGTGGTGTGAGAGGTGGTGGCGGTGGTTGTGGAAGTGGTGTGAGAGGTGGTGGCGGTGGTGGTGGTGGTAGTGTGAGAGGTGGTGACGGTGGTGGTGGTAGTGGTGTGAGAGGAGGTGACGGTGGTGGTGGTGGTAGTTGTGTGAGAGGTGGTGGTGGCGGTGGTAGTGGTGCGAGAGATGGTGGTGGCGGTGGTAGTGGTGCGAGAGATGGTGGTGGCGGTGGTAGTGGTGTGAGAGGTGGTGATGGTGGTGGTAGTAGTGTGAAAGGTGGTGGTGGTGGTGGTGGTAGTTGTGTGAGAGGTGGTGGTGGCAGTGGTAGTGGTGTGAGAGGTGGTGGTGGTGGTGGTAGTGGTGTGAGAGGTGGTGGTGGTGGTGGTGGCAGTGGTGTGAGAGGTGGTGGTGGTGGTGGTGGTGGTGGTGTGAGAGGTGGTGGTGGTGGTGGTGGTAGTGGTGTGAGAGGTGGTGCCGGTGGTGGTGGTAGTGGTGTGAAAGGTGGTGACGGTGGTGGTGCTAGTGGTGTGAGAGGTGGTGGTGGCAGTGGTAGTGGTGTGAGAGGTGGTGGTGGCGGTGGTAGTGGTGTGAGAGGTGGTGACGGTGGTGGTGGTAGTGGTGTGAGAGGTGGTGGTGGTAGTGGTGTGAGAGGTGGTGGCGGTGGTAGTGGCAGTGGTGTGAGAGGTGGTGGTGGTGGGGGTAGTGGTGTGAGAGGTGGTGACGGTGGTGGTGGTAGTGGTGTGAGAGGTGGTGGCGGTGATGGTGGTAGTGGTGTGAGAGGTGGTGGCGGTGGTGGTGGTAGTGGTGTGAGAGGTGGTGGTGGTGGTGGTGGTAGTGGTGTGAGAGGTGGTGGTGGTGGTGGTGGTGGTAGTGGTGTGAGAGGTGGTGGTGGTGGTGGTGGTAGTGGTGTGAGAGGTGGTGACGGTGGTGGTGGTAGTGGTGTGAGAGGTGGTGGTGGCAGTGGTGTGAGAGGTGGTGACGGTGGTGGTAGTGGTGTGAGAGGTGGTGGTGGTGGTGGTAGTGGTGTGAGAGGTAGTGGTGGTGGTGGTGGAAGTGGTGGTGGTGTGAGAGGTGGCGGTGGTGGTGGCAGTGGTGTGAGAGGTGGTGGTTGTGGTGGTGGTAGTGGTGTGAGAGGTGGTGGTGGTGGTGGTGGTAGTGGTGTGAGAGGTGGTGGTAGTGGTGGTAGTGGTGTGAGAGGTGGTGGTGGTGGTGGTAGTGGTGTGAGAGGTGGTGGTGGTGGTGGTGGTAGTGGTGTGAGAGGTGGTGGTGGTGGTGGTGGTAGTGGTGTGAGAGGTGGTGGTGGTGGTTGTGGTGGTGGTGTGAGAGGTGGTGGCGGTGGTGGTGGTGGTAGTGTGAGAGGTGGTGACGGTGGTGGTGGTAGTGGTGTGAGAGGAGGTGGTGGTGGTGAGTGGTGGTAGTGGTGTGAGAGGTGGTGGTGGTGGGTGGTAGTGGTGGTGAGAGATGGTGGTGGTGGTGGTAGTGGTGGTGGAGATGGTGGTGGTGGTGGTAGTGGTGTGAGAGGTGGTGATGGTGGTGGTGGTGGTGTGGTAGAGGTGGTGGTGGTGGTGGTGGTGGTGGTAGTGGTGTGAGAGGTGGTGACGGTGGCGGTGGTAGTGGTGTGAGAGGGTGGTGGTGGTGGTGGTAGTGGTGTGAGAGGTGGTGGCGGTGGTGGTGGCAGTGGTGTGAGAGGTGGTGGTGGTGGTGGTGGCAGTGGTGTGAGAGGTGGTGGTGGTAGTGGTAGTGGTGTGAGAGGTGGTGACGGTGGTGGTGGTAGTGGTGTGAAAGGTGGTGACGGTGGTGGTGCTAGTGGTGTGAGAGGTGGTGGTGGCAGTGGTAGTGGTGTGAGAGGTGGTGGTGGTGGGTGGTAGTGGTGTGAGAGGTGGTGACGTTGGTGGTGGTAGGTGGTGTGGTGAGAGAGGTGGTGGTAGTGGTGTGAGAGGTGGTGGTGGTGGTAGTGGTGGTGGTGGTGGTGGTGAGGTGGTGGTGGTGGGAGGGTGGTGGTGGTGAGAGGTGGTGGTGGTGGTGAGGTGGTAGTGGTGTGAGAGGTGGTGGTGGTGAGTGGTGGTAGTGGTGTGGAGAGGTGGTGGTGGTGGTGGTGGTAGTGGTGTGAGAGGTGGTGGCGTGGTGGGTGGTGGTGGTGGTGGTGTGAGAGGTGGTGGTGGTGGTGGTGGTAGTGGTGTGAGAGGTGGTGACGGTGGTGGTGGTGGTGGTGGTGTGAGAGGTGGTGGTGGTGAGTGGTGGTGAGAGGTGGAGGGTGGTGGTGGTGGGTGGTAGTGGTGTGAGAGGTGGTGGCGATGGTGGTAGTGGTGTGAGAGGTGGTGGTGGTGGTGGTGGTGGTGGTGTGAGAGGTGGTGGTGGTGTGGGGTAGTGGTGGGGGTAGTGGTGTGAGAGGTGGTGACGGTGGTGGTGGTAGTGGTGTGAGAGGTGGTGGTGGTGGTGGTGGTAGTGGTGTGAGAGGTGGTGGTGGTGGTGGTGGTAGTGGTGTGAGAGGTGGTGGTGGTGGTGGTGGTAGTGGTGTGAGAGGTGGTGGTGGTGGTGGTGATAGTGGTGTGAGAGGTGGTGGTGGTGGTGTGGTGTGAGAGGTGGTGACGGTGGTGGTGGTAGTGGTGTGAGAGGTGGTGGTGGCAGTGGTGTGAGAGGTGGTGG